TTTCAGACGCATGATCTTCAACAGAATGGTAAAATTGATATTCAACAAATTCATTCATGTGATAATTTTGTTGATTTGTTCACTAAGGCATTGCCAAACTCAATGTTTGAGAAGTTGAATTACAAGATTGAAGTGCATTGTTTTCAAGAAATAAAGTGATGTTTTCATCAGGGGGAGGCAAATACGTATTGTACTCTTTTTTTCTTAGCACAGGTTTTGTACCAATGGATTTTGCTGGCAAGGTTTTTAACGATGCAGCAGATAGTGCGTATTACATAATATGTGTACTCTTTTTCTTTCACTAGGATTTTTTCCCACGGGTTTTTTTCCAAGTAATATTTTAACGAGACACATTATCTTTGGACATCCAAGGGGGAATGTTATGAAATACTTGATTATAGTGGATGTTCATAACTCCTAAGGGAGTAACACCATCTACTCTTCTCCATCAATCTCTCACTACTTCTTACCATTATGATTGTAACTCCAACACCCCCATGATCTTTTCCATGATCTTTCCCATGATCTCAATAATTAATACCATATTCATGGCATCCCTTTGTATTATATAAATATCATCCTATAAATATAGGGTTTGGGTATCACATTGTACACACTTAGAAAATACTTGATGAAATAAGAATGGCGTAATACCTAAAAACTGTTACACCATGTGCGTCCCAAGGTGACGTAATGAATATGAGACTTATTAATCATGATTTAAATAATTTTAAAGTCATAATATGGCTATATATGATGTTTGGATAGAAAATATGAAGTTTGAAAAAAATCAGATTAAAGTTGCGGAAACACCGACTAAGGATTTGCCCTGTAACAAAGTTTTTTAAGAAATATATTTTGTGTGCTATATGAGGATACCAAATTGCAGGTCTTGGAATGTAATTTCCAATGCACTTAACCGTTCATTCATACGACACCCAGATAAAAAGTTATAAGCGTTGGAAAAAGGGTCAATCATAGGGTGCCAAGTAACACCTTTTTGACTTTTAAATAAATGGGATTTTTACATCCCATCTCGTCTCTTTCTCCATCTTTACAGAGAGCTCTCCCAAACAACACCCCTAACCTTACCCTTAAGCTCTCTGCATAAGCTTAAAATAAGATTATCATCCCGGGCACGAAATCAAGAAGCGATAATATTAAAACGATCCCTACGACGTAAGTATCGCTATATCACCTCTCTTTTTCTTTGTAGTTTGAATTTTGGAAGGTACTTCATAGTTAAGAAAGCGTGTAATTTCTGTATTTAAGTGTTTAAATATCAAGGAATGTTGATAAATTCATTTTCTAATAGTTAGAACTCACGGGACGGTGATCGAAAGTCGTGAGTTTGAGTTATTTGACTTGTAGTGGACTATTTTGTGAGCTGTTTCATGTTGCCTTTGGGCTGTATATTTTTATACTGTTTAATGGAGTTTTGGAGTACAAATAGTGTGGAGAAACACCACATAATGACGGAATAGTGGGCTGGTCGTTCATCGTTACAATTTTTAAGTTGTTTGACACTACTTTGGTTGTCGTTTTATGTATGAAGTGATTAAAGTGTGTGGGCTGTTTTGTGGTATATTGTGATGGAGATAAGGTTGGAAAATGATTCTTACATATTGTTATTGGTGTGTTCCTATTTTTTTCGGTATATGGTAGTGGAGGAGGGCCTAGTTACAGGGGAGATGCTGTCCAAATTTACGTAAACGAGCTACTAGTTTAAGTTGCGGACTTAGCCTTTACTCAGCACTGATTTTGAATCTCCTTATGATGTGGTAGATTGTATTGAGTTGTTTGAAGAATTTCTTTGAAGGTATTAAAGACTCAACGGAGTTAAGGTATGTTCAGGCTATTCCTTCTTTCTTTTTGGCATGATCCAAATGATACAAACGAAACGAGCAAAATACGCAACTTTCATAAATGACTCTATTCATAGAAATACTAGGGGTGTCTATATTTTTGATTCCCTATGTGAATTATTATTATATCCTCTGTTCATGGGTCTCAGAAAAATACGTATTTGATAAAGTTTGTCCGAAAGACATATTAATTTTATGATAGTCGAGAAATCCTATTAACGTATTTCTTATACATTCCATGCATTTATACATGTACATTGACCCATGACCAGAAGGCGTTATATACGCGTATATTATATGTATATGGAAAAAGGTTACGGTGTTATATATGCAGCACCACCTAATCAGCTGGTATACGTTGATGATTTGCCCACAGTGGCCGAGATGATATGATGGGATGCCCTCAGAGGCTTGATGATGTTATGTACACCTATACCTATGCATGATACGACATTTACACGCACGTGTATGACATTATAAATGTTTCAGGATTCACAAAGTTATTTAGACTCACATGTGAAATTTTGTACTCCATGTTTCATCTATGCCTTTTATGTACTGATTTTCATGCCTTACATACTCAGTACATTATTCGTACTGACGTCCCTTTTGTTTGGGGACGCTGCGTTTCATGCCCGCAGGTCCCGATAGACAAGTTGAGAGTTCTCCTAGTAGGCTATCAGCTCAGCAGAAGATGTTTGTGCACTCCACTTGCTTCAGAGTTACCTATTTGGTCAGTATGATTTGAATATGTATTGATTGGTATGACGGGGCTCTGTCCCGACTTTTATGATATTTATGTACTCTTAGAGGCTTGTAGACATATGTCATGCATACGGATACGAGTACGGCCTTATAGGCCAATACGTCATATGTATAAGTCGGTATATCAAGTTGGTTCACCCTATATTGAGTATTTCCTCATGTTTTATTCTACTTATCTCACGACATCCTCTCCGGCTCATATACCTATGATAGTATGATACGAAAGATACGTTACGTTGGTACTCAGTTGAGTACGGTACCGGGTGTCCGTCGCGGCCCATCGGTTTGGGTCGTGACAAAAGCCTCTCTAAACTTGACACGGATTATTAGTTACACCCCTAAACTATTAATGGTCTTAATTATCCCCCTGAACTTGGCCTTTTGAGAGTCATTACTTCCCTGAACGCTGAAGTGGCAAAGAGTGTGGGCGCACTCTCTTTTAAGCGCGTGGGAGTGAAGAGAAATAAAAAAATCAGCTTACAAATAGGTTATTTTTTAACTTTTAATTGCATATAGTCATATATTATGATTTATTTATTATGACTATGTATTTCTTCTTGCTTCACCTTGACATATAATGTGGACTTTACTCTAACTTTTATTCTTTTTAATTTCTTATATAGATATAATGTCTATTTGTTCCAACTGCATATTTTTTTTTTCTTTTTTTTAAAGTTTTGTTGGAACTCCATTTTTGCCAAATAGAAAACTTTTAGCAAAAATAATGGAATACTAGTTGTGTATTTTCTGCTATTTATTTTTTTTAGATATAATATCTATTTATTTTAATTGTGTTTTTTAATTTTTGAGTCAAATCAGTAAAAAAAATGGCTACAACTCCATTAGTTTTTACCAAATAAAAAGGTATAGCCAAAATAATGAACTTGCAATCGTACACTCTTTTTATTTCTTCTTTTAATGTAATGACTATTTATTTCAACCGTGTATTTTTATTTTTTCTGGTAATATCTGTGAAACAATAATATTTTTAGAGCTCCATAATTTAGAGCTATATAAAAAATTATAGTCAAAATAATAAAAATCAAACTATGTATCTTTATATCTTTTTAGATGCCTTGACTATTTATTTCAACTGTATAAATCTTTATTTTCAGGTCAAATTCAAAAACAATAACTAAAACTTTATTATTTTTAGCCAAATAAAAAAAATTTAGCCAAAATAATGTAGTTCTAACCAAGATTTATTATAAATATTATTAGAAAAAGATTATCTAAGAAAGTAACACACTTAAAAAGATATAAAATATATTTTATTTTTTTAAAAATGCCACATGGACAGGAAAATCCATGTGGCAGGCGAGTGCATGTCACTTCCTAGGAAGAGATCGTCCAAGGGGGTAACAACTATCGAATAACCAAGCATAGGGGGATAATTAAGATCACGAATAGTTCAAGAATGTAATTAATAATACGTGCTAAGTTTAGGAAAATTTTAAAGTATTTTGTTATTCTTGTTCTGTATTGTTACTTTGAGTTTAGTTTCTTAATAGAAAATGATTTGTCGTATAAAACAAGTCACAATGTTTCTAAATATACAAAAATGTTATTATTGAGGTGAATTCCTCGAGGAAATTGTTCCTTCCCTTTTTTATTTCAAACAATCCTCGACAAAGATGTGAACGGACGCCAACGAGGAGATTGAATTGTTCCAAAGTATAGACCCATTCACCCAAAAGTAATGGCCATAGAATTTGGGATTTTTTTTTTTTCAAATTCTATTTTCAAATATTTGTTTGTTTATAGATTTTAATTATTTTTTGACAGATTTTGAAAATAAAATCTTAAAATCCTCAAAATAGTTCTAGAGTAGTTTTTGAAATTTTTATTAAAATATTTCAAATTATGTTCAAGTAAAATGTATGTTCAAACACAATTTCGATTTTCAAAAATTATTTTCATCTCATTTTTAAAAATTTATTTTTTCAAGTTTCAATTAAATTTATGTTCAAAAGCTCGCTTAGTATGTTAGGTAACCAACCGAAAAAAAGGAGAAGAAAGAAAAGTGGAAGTCTTTCAACCCTTTAATGGGCGGCTAGACAATCTTCCTCCTTTCATATTTTTCAGCTGCCACCTTTAATTCCGTCCTTTGTGGCATCTTAAGATTTTCAAAAGTTGGCGAGAAATCATTCTAAGTAAAAGTCTTTAAAGGTCTTATCAATAAATCCCTCTGTTTCCTATCCTAGAACTGACTCAATCAGAAAAAAATATGTGGTGAATAACCCGCATTATTTTGCTTTTAGTAACGTTTTCTGCATACATGTATGTTAAGTATACATTATTTGAGTTTGACTTCTACGTACAATCCGGAAAGGTGAACAGAGTACTCTGCTTTTTCAAGAAAAGAAACAGTTGAAAATGAAACTAGCTTCAATCACCCAATTTCAACTATTAACAATTGGTCATAACCTCACTATTTTTGGTAAAAATATCATGATATAAGGTCACTATTTCGTTCTAAAATCCCAAGAAACAAGAAAGATGACCATAGTTTTAGGTCCCTTTTCCTGAAATTGCTAAAATTGATCCATGCTCCACAAGCTGTCAGCTAAAATATCACCATTCATCAGATTGTTTTCTCCACCCACCATTTGATCATAATTATTCAAAAAGTTGCCAGTTGCTGAGCTGAAAGTATCCATACCATAACTGTTGTCCTCAAATGGAAAATGGGCAAACGAATTTAAGTCAGAATCACCCATCTCAAGAGGTGGAATTTTAGGACATTCCGAAATAATGTTGGGAGATTTATAGATACTCATAGATTCTGACGAAGGTGAACTCGAACTGCATCTGCTGCTGCTGATGCTGTTATTCTCTAAGCTTAAAACTTGTGGGGTTTGTGTAAGTTTCGTGATATTTAAAGGACCATATTGTGAATCCAATAATAAAGTTGATTGTGAAGTCTGCATTGTTGGGATAACAGATGAACCTTGTATCTTCTGAAGAAGCCGAGGTATCCAGAGACAGCGAATCATGTGTTGAAATGCTGCACTATTGGAGTCAATCTTCAAATGCCTAGCTTGTTTCTGCACCCTTGTTCTCCAGTAATTCTTGATTTCATTATCTGTTCTTCCCGGTAGATATTGCGCAATTCTTGACCATCTATAATATTGTCAAGGAGAATCACACCAGTTATTATAGTTCAAAACTTGATAAGCTTTAAAAAAAATTGATTTAACACCAGGTTTTCTGAGCAATGGCAAGATTAAAGGAGATTGCTAGACCAATATATATATATATATATATATATACACACTGGCAGGGGCGGAGCCAAAGACCAAGTTACGGGTTCGTCTAAACTCTGCATTTGACTTAAAAAAATCATTAATATATAAGAATTATTAGTTTAGAACTCATTAACTAAAAAGACTAGAATCATGAACTTGGTACTAGAAATGAGGCCTACAACAACAGTTCTAAAACGGAAAACATTTGTAGCTGGAAGAAGAATCAAAGAGTACTATACCTGTTACCCAACTTGGAATGAAGTTCAAGAATCAGGAGTTGTTCTTGTGGAGTGAGATTCCCTCTTTTAACGTCCGGTTTCAGGTAATTCAGCCATCTCAATCTGCAACTCTTGCCTGTTCTCTTCAATCCTAATAAATCAAGAAAGTACATGGAATCAACAACTAATCAAAGTGTCTAAAAGATCAATATATACGATGTGCTAACTTAGCAATGGACAGGTGAATTACCAGCACGGTTTGCAAGCATATTCCATCGCCCTTCGCCATGTTGGGAAATGTAATGGACGAGGAGACTGTCTTCTTCAACAGTCCATGGACCTCTCCTCAATCCAATTTCATCATCACTAGAGCTACTTGAACTTTTAGATAAGAAAGAAATGTCTGTTTCCATTGAGAGATCTTAGTACTGAAAATGTGCTAAAAAGTGGAGTACTTAATATATGATTGAAGCAAGAGCTAGCAGCCAGCTCAGATTTATAAATGTACAAGTTTCTGAGTCTCACCAATTTCTACTATATAAGTAGATGCTGCGTCAAACTTGCCTCAAGTTAATTTCCAAAAGTCTTAAACCAAATAAAAGGTATAGAAAATAACGAGAAAATTTAGAGGACTTTTTAATATATTTGGAAAGTTAATTAGATTCCTAAGTCAGTTAGAAACTAAAAGTAGGTGCATTAAGGTGACTTCCACCTAGTTATAGTGCCTAATTATTAATCAGCACTCATGTTTAATTAAATATGACTAATGGTGTTCACAGGTCCTATAAAATATAGGGTCAATGTGAAACTATTGGCTTTTCTGTAGAATTCCAAATGAAGATAAGAAGAGGCGGTGATAAACTTCTCGATAAGGACACAAAAAGTTATGAAATGTAGTTTTGCTGGAAGGGCCGGGGGATGAGTTGTATTAAAAATATTTATTTGTGTTTTCACTGAACCAAGTAATTTAGTCATAAAAATCTGCAAATATAAATGAAAAATAGCACTTAATCTTAGTCAATTGATAGTCAGGTATATATTATATATTCATTTGTTTGATGCAAATACCAAGTATTTATAATTTTATTTTGAGTTCAAGAAGTGTCTATCTATTCAAGATTCTCCGCTTATACAACGTGGTTGACTGAAAGACATGTATTGCAAGTGTATCCAGAGTTCACCAAACTGTACTTATAAAACGTGGGTATTTCTATGTTAGCCAAAGAAGGCGGCACTTTGAGCCGCTGCTTGTTTTTTCTAAACACTTCCCCACTTTGAACTTGGATTCCTTGCCAAATGCCAACGATGCCGACTTATGGTGTTATTTGTGGTTCTTGCTTCTTCAAAGGCCATCACAATACTCAAGAATAATTACAAACTTTTCCATTTAATTGAATAGTCCTGCAATTCGGCTAAATTTGACTCAAATATTTCAATTACATCATTTATTTATTAAGTTCACAAGTGCAGGATATATGCAATCTCAACAAGAAATGGTTTATTCCAAAACCAAGGGAAGTTCTTTTTTTTTATTATCTTGATAATCTATCCGTTTAATCAAAAAGTATAACTTTGTATTTATGTAATGGTGGATTAAATACAATAGATGACATTTAAGATTCGACTTTAGAACATGTATATAATGTGGAACAGATTTAGTGGGAGACTGACAATAACATACATTAAATATTCCGAAAGGTATAGTAATAATGGAGGAGTATCTAGCAATAAATAATAATAAATAACATCTAAGTAAATAGGAAAAGTGGTTCACCCAATGATGAATGAACTAGATGATTGTTCTTCGATGATGAGTCACAGATAAATCCTAGAATGTTCGAACTATTCTTGGATCTGACGAAAAAGTGTGAATAATATGAACAAGAATCTTGATGAAAAGGTAATCTTTGTATCTTTTACAAGAGAGAGAATCTTTATCAGAAGTCTATTCTTATCTAGTAAATATCGCATGCCCCTTTTCCCTATCTTTTTCCTCTTTATATGGGACATATCCCTAAAAAACCCTAATAGTACATGTGCCCAGAATATTCTCACTATTATACTATTATAAAAACTAGCTGTTACAGCCCTTTTCACGGTGCTCGACCTCGGTCATTATTGACATCCCGATCACGAGCTTCGCCGTTTCCTGATCTACCTCGATCGACCCTTCCTTTGATACTACCTCGCCCTAAATGCTCGCCGGTATATTTTGACCTATACAGTTAGTCCCTCCGCTTATTGAGGTCGTCCTCGTACGACCTCGATGAGCAGATTTTATTAGTTATGGTCGAGAAGAGTAGGCGAGTGAATCGGGCAGTTAAGTTTAGGACGAGCTGGCAACATGGCCTTTCGTGAGCTGCAACTTTCGGGGTTACATCGTTTCTGCACACTAGAGTGATGTCTTGATATCATGCGTCATTATGTCACATTTTCCCGATGCTTTGCATCGTTTCCCGCACGACTGTCAGTTGAGGATGTCGTTTCAACTCCAGTGCTGGGTAATGATGGCATAATCTCTTGGTTTTGGTGCCCGAATTCTTATAAATAGAGATGTGATGACACTCATTTGTTCTTTACGTGTTTTTATCAACAAAATCTTGTGCCTTCTTCTCCTTCCTCCATTGTTGTGTGTCTTCTTTCCTGGTCTTAGTGATTCCCGTTGCTTCTAATCCTTCTTTGCCTGAATATCCTTTCTCTCATCGAAGTTATGGCTAATGTATCATTTGGTTCTGGTGTGGGAACTGACCCTGTCCCTTTGGCGGTGCTTATGGCTCCTCACGCTGATGGCGTCTATGTTGCCATCGACGATGAGAACTTTCCTACGCTTGGGGAAATAATTCCACGCGGTGAGAAAGTTAGGTCTGACTTCTCGAAGGTGCCTGAAGACGAGCCCAAGGTCTCTGAGTCGGCAATGAAAGAGGGTGATCTAGCGGAGCTTGGGGCAAAATTTGACGTTCCCGCCTATATTGATTTGGTCCCAGCAGGGTGTGATGTGGTACAAATCTACCGCCCCGGATATTGAACGTTCTATGCATATCCCTTCCAGGCCGGCTGTGCTCTTCCCCTTCTCCTATTGGCGGAGTAATTATGTCGCTACTATGGCGTGTGCCCAGTTCAACTCGCCCTATATATCTACATGCTCATCAGGATACTTACTAAACTTGCGGAGTTACCCGGGATCGAGACCACACTCTGGCATCTGATGCATCTCTTCGCCCCTAGTTTCTATAAGGGGACAATGTTGAACCTTCGCCATCGAGGAAGCAAATGTCTGGTGGTGAAGATGGATGACAAGGCAAGTCGTCACTTCTGGCACAATTTTTTCTTTGTCAGAACCGAAGACGTGGTGGCCAATACGGACGGCTTCCCTAGACTTGGAATTACACTCGTAAGCGTCTATTCTTCTTTTGTTAAAACGTTTGATATGTCTATTTTAGTCATAGGCTCTGAACTTTTGTCCCCTCTTCGTGCAGCCAAGACTACGCCCCCTCCTTTGGTCGGGGATATTTTCGATTGGGTTGGCCGGGTTCTGCCTCATATCGTGGGTATTCGTGAGTGATCGGGTTTTGTTAAGAAGTTTGGGCATGCTCTTTCCTTGACCGATGAGTATCTATATATATATTTTTTTCTGTTTTGGTCTCATGGCCGCCTACTTAATATAGTTTGCTCTTGCTGGTGGTGATAACCTTACTTTGATTTTTCTTTTCCAGCCCGAGAATCTTCGAGGAAGCCGAGGGCACCTTCTCCTATATTTTGCAAGAGGAAGGTCGCCTCTTCTTCGGCGTCTATTCCCATTGTGACCACGGCTAGGCCTGCTCGATCATCTGCTTCTGTTCCTTCCTCAATCGCGGCCAGGTTTGCTCGGTCGTTGGCCCCATCTACTGCTGCCTCAGTTTCGGTTTCTTCTCCTCCTGCGGATATTTCGATAGCGGTGGGAATTTGGTTCCATATAAGAGAAAATCTGTGGACATTAGTGATGAGGTCGCCTAGGCCGCAAATTCAGTAATGGATGATTTTGTCATCCGTGAGACGGTGACCATAATACTCGAGGACGACATTGAGCCGACGTCTGATATTCCGATATTTGCGGAGGTCGTTGAAGGCGTACCTCTTCCATTTGTAGCGATAGGTGCCGAAGGGCCAGCCGTTGTGGCTTCTGATATTTTGCGGCAGGAGAGGCCTTCGACTTCGCGACCGGCTAATGATGCTTCTCTGCCGGTCGATGGGAGAGGCAAAGACATTATCGAGGATGTTACGAGATGAGTTCTGATCTCGATGTTGACGAGATGAGGATGATGGAGAAGGGATTTGCCCAGCTGGAGGGGTCCACGCGGACTATTGCATTCCCCATGGATCGAGATTTATTAAAAGATACAGAGAACTTGGTTCCTTCCCTCGATCCCCTTTGCTCCAACGAGGAGGGTCGAGCTCTTCAAGAGCTGAATGATATTACCTTATCGAGGAGCATAGCCAGCCTCGCTCTTAGGGTAAGTTTTTTGACGCTTCATGTTTTCTGTTTGTTATGTTCGATGTATAGGCCTCGTTCTTACTTTGTCTATTTTCTTTTTCTTTCTTTTCTAGACCGTGATCTTGGAAATTGAAAGCGCCCGAAGTGAGGCAATGCGTAAGGCTATTTTTATGAAGTTACAGCAAAAATACAGTGAGTACCGTGGTAAGCACCGGGAAATTTGTAGGCGGTTTGGTGAGAGCGGCAATCTGTAGGCCTTTCTAGATGAACTGAAGGAGAAAGATGGAGAGCTAGTGAGGGTAATCGAAAAGTGCAGCGTCCTTGAGGGGACACTAAGAAATAAAGAGGAAGATCTCGAAGTTATTAGGGTCGTGAAGGCTCAATGTGGCGATCTCCAGGCCCAGGTGATCGAGCTGCGCAGGTAGTTGGAGGAGTGTCACCTGCAGATGGAGGTTCTTCACGGCGAGATTACAGGGAAGCAAAACGAGTTGGAGAGGGCGGAGTCTGCTTGTTCGATGGCTTCGAGGAAAGCGGAGGCCTTCGAGGTGGTGATCCGGACTCTCCATTCTGAGTGAGAGATTGATTTGGAGATGGCGAGACTTAAAGAGAAGCAACACGATGAGAGGATTGGGGAGTTGGAGAAAGACAACTCCTTCCTTTAGGACCAGGTGGCTGCCTTAGAAGTTGAGAAGGCTCAAATGCTTGTGCAACCGTCATCTTCTCATACTTTAGATTTCCCAAACGTTCCCCGGGGCATGTACGAGGAATAGATTCACGCTGAGGCTCAGTTGGATGTGTTCCTAGATTTGCATACGGCGGGATCTATTCCTGGGACCGCCCTTGAAGATGCTTATGTTAAGGCACGTGAAGCTCGAATCACTTGCGGGTATAATTCCGCTACGCCGGAGGCCGACAACGATGAGAGGGACGCGGTGTAGATCAGAATAAAGAGGACGCCCGGTATGAAAATGCGTACCTTGAGGGCAGTGGTGATGGCGAGGGCGCAGATGGAGATGGCCCAGATGGTTAGGCCGATGGCATTGATGAGCCTGACAACGACCAATAGTTTTTCTTCTTCCTTCTTATTTTTTTTGTGAACTTGTGTGTATTTTGTA